AAATTAGTGCAAAAGTCAGCCATTTTTTTCAATTTTTCCAACAGAATGTATAGTTAAAGCTCGAAGGGGGCAATATGCTGGGCTGGCAGTTGACATTTAACTGTCAATTAACAAGATATGTGATTTGGACTCATACGTGAAGTTGTCAAAGGGTCGGATCAATGTCGAATCGGTATCGAACCGTTAGTAATAAATAAATAAATTATATAGTACACAATTGACAAAATTAAATTAATTTTTCAACTTAATTATTATATAGACAAAATCACCAACTAATGATTAAATTTGGGTACAATTAATTTTTATTTGTCATATGATGAATTGTTTACTATTTTTATAGTAGTTTATTGTGTCAATGTAATAAAATTAAATGAAAGATCGCATAAATTGGATTAAAAATGAAAAAAAAAATTAATTTTAAGAGATAAATAATTTACACCAACATGATTATTCTTTTTAAATAAAACTAAAATACTAATTTTTAATTTATTCAATTTTTTATAATAGAAACATTTTTCACGATAGTGGACTGGAGTGGAATTTACTGTACAAACTTTACATTTCTAAATCCCACATTGGAATCTGATTACAAAAGTTTTGATGATGTATGCTATAAATGTATGGGCAAACTAGTGGTTACGTATATGTGTTGGGCCTTACATGGGAAGTAATGTGCAGGGCTAAAATATGAAAACAGTAATTATTAAGTCCATGTTTGAGTTTTATATTTAAAAAAAAAAAAATACATTATTCAATAGCATTTTAATTTTTTTTTTTTAAGTTTACATTTTTCATCAATACACTAATCATTTGACAAAAATGGGACTCAAACAAACCCTAAATCTAAAAAGAGCCAACCGGTAGAAACCGCTTTTGGGTCTACGGCTGATGGTCTAATAGGCTATTTATCGGTTTTAAAATTAATGGATTTTGAGCATATCGAATATTGGACTGGTTTTCAATTTTTTGGGTTGAACCGACCAGTCTGGTTCGATTTTAAAAACATTGGTTTTGAAAGCCCCTTCTTTGAATGAAAGCATGTTCAGCTAAGCTCAAAAGGAAAAATATGCTAGTAGTTGATATTTAACTGGAATTAACAAGATATGTTATTTGGACACTCGCGTGAAATTGTTATGATCATAAGTTATGAAAGAATAAAAAGTATTTTTTTTAAAGATTTGGAAATAAGGACGACAAAACATTTTGATCTTGTCTGTTACGTCGTAAAATGAAATAATAATAATAATAATATT